TTGATCTATACAAACAAACCACACAGCATACAAGAGCTTGCTCCCAAAACCGCACACAGAACTACTGACTCCATTTTCAGATGAAAAGAAAAAAACAAAAAACAAAAACAACAACAAAAAAAAACAACAGGGTTTTTGAGAAGTAGAGAAGGATTGTAAACTGTCAGGTTTTTGCTGCTATCTGGGACTCCTTTAGAGAAATATACCCTCACTTCCTGTCCTCCTGACAACCGGTTCACCAGACAGGAAGTGGGAAAAAGCCTGGAGCAAAGACAGAAATATGACAGGTGTTCTAGCCTTCTACTTTATTTATACAGATATTATACCTATATTACTACAATATACTAATATTATTACTCAGTACCATACTTACTTCACTACATTATATGGATATTATACTCTGTTAAATGTATATTACTACCCTAATATTAGTACTCTGTATTATATTTATAGTAATACTCTATAGTAATATTACTACTCAATACTATACTTATTTTACTACAATAGTTATATAGATAGTATACCAATATTACTACTCTATACAGTACACACACACACACAGGACTCTTGTGTTTGGGGCACTATTTATTGTTCCTCCTCGTCTCCCCCTTTATTTGACAATAGTGATGATGGCAGCGTCACCCCATTGCGAGTTCTATAAAACAGCCCCCATCCTGCACCCCCAAATCCCGGATCAGCCTGTGATTGTCCCTCTATGATGATCTCTCCCCCGGATCGGGCTCTGTGTGTCTCTAAGAAGATATCACCCCCGGATCGGGCTCTGTGTGTCTCTAAGAAGATATCTCCCCCGGATCGAGCTCTGTGTGTCTCTAACAAGATATCTCCCCCAGATCGGGCTCTGTAAGTCTCTAAGAAGATATCTCCCCCGGATCGGGCTCTGTAAGTCTCTAAGAAGATATCTCCCCCGGATCGGGCTCTGTGTGTCGCTAAGAAGATATATCCCCCGGATCGGGCTCTGTGTGTCTCTAGGAAGATTTCTCCCCGGATCGGGCTGTCTCTCTATAAGGACATTGAACTCCCTCGCACTCTACAGGATATGATTGATCCACATCGATAAGACGCCCGTGACATTATATAACAATGGTTCACACTCTGTCACCTCTGGGGATCTCCAGCACACCGGTCACAATATATCAGACAGGCGGGTAGCAAATTGCAGCGACCTCTCCGATCTAGGTCGGCATATGCTTCAATAGGACTCTAGGACTCCCCCACCTGCCTCCCCCGCCATGTATACAGAGTGTATGCGAATCTCAGATCATCAGGTAAGACATACAAAGAGCCGACCGACTCACCGTCTGTGATCAGCACCATCTTCCCGGTCAGGTGACGTCCAGCAATCAGAACGATAGAGCACCGATCACTGCGCTATCTCACGACTTCACTAATGACAGCTTGAAGAGCAAAGCCAGCGAGTGGGCGGAGCCTGGGAGACACGTCACCGTGCGGGGGGAGGGGGGACGTGTCACACCCTGTTCCTGTCACACTCACTCATCTGTGATCATATTAACCCCTGCAGGGGCGGACACTAGACGGTGTGGGGTGGAAATGTCACACCTGGGCTCAGCACGTCCATTCTTGTCTACAGATTAGAATATTGGAAGAAGGAATGTAAACAGCACTGACGGCAGTCACTAGTATGAGTACAATCACCAGGGACAAGGCGGCCATACATATAGCAATCTGTGATCGATTCAGGTATCTCTCATCAATTCAAATATCAAACAATGCAACACTCATAGATTTTGTGATCGACTGGATATATCAATCTTAGGGTCACCACACACGTTACAATCTGACCATACAATCTCTGGACAATCAAGTTTAGATTTACCAAATCTATGGAGTACGACGACCTGCCTAGTCCATCCAATCTGTATCCCATTAGACAGGCCCTTGCACTACATAGTTGTTGGTAGATCTAAAGGGGATTGTACAATCAGATTGTAACATATGCGTACGATGTAGAGGAAAGTAAAAGGGCCCCTATGGCCAAGGTGCATTTACCTGCTGTGGAGCGTTGCTGTAACGCACATCACGGCAATGCAGCTCCAATGTGTATGCGCCACAGCTCAGCACAATGCACTCTACCGGCCTACCTACATTGTGGTGCTAAAAATGGAACCTGTCTGTTATTGGGCGACTTTCATTTCACACATGGGCCTTGTGCACACCAGACACAGTGCATGTCTGTCCAGAACGCACTGAATCGCATTGCGGCCGGCTCACTATGTTGTGGGGCAGGAAGTGACTGTAGCCACGCCCTCCGGCCCAAATGGACTCAAAACTTATCCGTGTTTCCCCGAAAATAAGACACTCTCTTATTTTTTTTTGGCTCAAAAAAACACACTAGGTCTTATTTTCGGGGGTAGGTCTTATTTTTTTTTTTTATGTATAACAATCCAAAGTTAATGCAAGTCCAAATTAAATAATCCAAAATGGCAAAGTTAAGAATAGGGTGATCAGGGATGAAAGCAAACAAATTGGTACAACAAACGGCAGATGAGTAAGAACCTTAAAAAGGGTACGGTACATATGGGCGAAGGAATTCAGTGTGCAAGCTCTAACTGTACAGGGAGAGGGGCCCTGCGAACACACAAACAAAAATCACACAATGAGAGAGCGCTACTACTGTGGAGAAAACTCACGTTTCAGTTGCCAGCATATCGCATGTGAGCTGGTCAAATGATCTTGTGATGCCGGGATTGTTCGCAGAGGGACAGTCTAAGTGCTTTGATGGATGGTCGTTAACAACACGGACTCAGCTGGCCAGGCTGAGCCGCGGTGCCAGGGGTAGAAGGCGGTGTCAGTGCCGGACCGTTCAGGGACCTCGGGGGTCTGTGCGAACGGTGTAACCAAACTGTCACGAGCAGGG